CGCAGATTCAAATAAAAGGTATTTATCAACCCGATACCATAGCCAAATGGTATCAACATTTAGGGTTCCAAACTGCTCTAACAAATGGACCCCTGTACTAAAAATACCCTAAAGACACACTGCAAGAATCACCAGCCTCTCTCTATCTGCATCTGAGGCTTTCGCGTCCCATACCAACAACACATTCTTGAATCCTTGCTCCAAGAAGGCACAGGAAATGTTCGCACTGTTTATTGCAATGTACACATCTGTCATTTAAGATGGTATCTCTTCCCACCTAAAGGAAAGATACTGCATTGACACTCTGGTACTAAGTTACTGAGCTTCTAATATAAAATTTGCATTCGAAGAATGCCTATCCAAAAACTTGCCTGTTAATTTAAGGATCCATAAATTCTTCTTTTAACTCGGAGGCTCTGGATAACTGCTAGAAAACTGCATCCGTGTTCAGCAGGCTTTCCCTCCCTGTGACCTCTGCGTGCCCCATGGGCTACCCCTGCCTGTTTTAGCCCAGGGTTCTACAAGTGGGGAAGCAAAGGCAAGGGTAACACGAGCTGGCTCCTGCTGCAAATAGCAACAGGCCTTTCATGAGTGAAAGCCCAAATATAGACCTGCCCACTGCTGACTGCTCAAGTGTCACCAGGAGAGGTTACATGCTGTCCCCTGAGTTACTTCAATTACTGTGGGGATTGGAGTCCGGTGGCTCCACCGCGGGCCTGATGTATGGTCATGAATAGAGGGCTGGGGGCTGTCACAGCAAGGGCAGGAGGGTGGCTGCAGGCCACACAGAGAAGGAGGACTTCTGAGAGTCCCCAGGCTGTGCACCTTCCACCTGGCCTGAGGGGCTTTTCCCAGAGTCTTTTGAATAAGCACAAATCTGAAGGTAGTCAAATGCAACTTAATTTTTTTTCTCCCACTATTCCTTGAACGTTTACTCATTTATTCCCCTCTCTGGATAAAAATCGAGCACACCCATGACTTTCTGCTCCCTCTTAGGTAACACAGAGTCCTGGGGTCACTTGAAGGCATAGTCTCCATCCAGTAAGGGAATGTACAGTCCAATACGTTAATTAAAAAGTCAAACTTAGAGGACTTCCCTGGTGGTGCAGCGGTTAAGAATCCGCCTGCCAATGCAGGGGACATGGGTTCCAGCCCTGGTCCAGGAAGATCCCACATGCCGCGGAGCAACTGGGCCCATGCACCACAGCTACTGAAGCCTGCATGCCTAGAGCCCATGCTCCGCAACAAGAGAAGCCACCGCAATGAGAAGCCCGTGCACCGCAACAAAGAGTAGCCCCTGCTCACCGCAACTAGAGAAAGTGCGCACGCACAGCAACAAAGACCCAACGCAGCCGAAAATAAATAAATAAAATTTTTAAAAAGTCAAACTTAGTTTAGCCGGCATCAAAATCTTCTCCCCTCCCCAGCCGAGGCCTCTGTAGCTGGAAGTCTGCCCTGGGAAAGGGGGGGATGAGGTCGGCCTCTTGTTCCCACACCTCCTCCCTTAGCTGCTGGTTTGCCAGGGGCAGGAGGCGCTAAGGTGATAAGACAGCTCCTATCTGAGCTGGTGCCACGGAGGGTGGGTGCTAGCTTCTGGCTCTCTGGGGCAGGCAGATGCTTAGAGCACTCTCTGTCTCTCTGAGCTTTTGTATATCTCTGGGGTTTACCATGATGAGCCCTTTCCCCTGGAGTTCCCACGACCCCTCTGTTCCAGGGGGTCCCTTGCACTCCTCCTCCAGGCCCTGGTGGGCCACCTCCAAGATTCCTCAAATGAGGTCTTCTGACCCATGCAGCTGGTTCTCTCAGGCAGGACCTAGGTGACTCCTTGCTGGCTCTGTCGTCCTGCTGGCCCACATCTGGGTATTGGGATGTAGGTTCCATCCTTGGTCCTGGCAAACTCTGGGGTGCAGACAATTCCAATGCAGCCACTCCCCCTGGCTCTGCCACCAAAGCAGCCAATCCTTTCTCCTCAGGCCACCATTGGCCCACTTGCAGGAAATACAGCAAGCTACCTGAAGGGTCCCTTTGAAGACCCCACACTGGGCTTGGGGATAGAGGGTGGGCCTTCCAACTCTCCCCACCCAGTCCAACAATAGCTCTCTCCAGAAAAATCGCTCCACCAGTCTCCCTCTCAAACACCCTCTTTTCTTCACTCTGATCCCTTTTTATTTTCTTCCACTGGTGGAGGGCATGAATTGGGTTCTGGACCATTTCCTTGAAAAGTCTGCCTGTGGTGATTTGGTCTCAGAATTTTACATCTATTGCTTTTTGAAACCTTAATCAAAATTTCATTTTTAAAACACTGTTACTGCCAGTTATCTATACAATAAAAATATTGGAAGCCAAATAAAATATCAAAAGCAAACAATTTGAAAGAATAAATTATGCAAAGATATATGTACAAGAATGTTCACCACAGCATTATCTATATTGGCAGAAAATTGAAATTAATCTATTCCTACCAATATAGAATTCTTTAAATAAATCACAATACTGTCAACTCAGTTTTGGCAAGTATTAAAAATAATGATGTAGATACCTTTTTTAATTTATTTATTTATTTATTTTTGGCTGCGTTGGGTCTTCGTTGCTGTGTGCAGGCTTTCTCCAGTTGTGGTGAGCAGGGGCTACTCTTTGTTGTGGTGCGCGGGCTTCTCATTGCAGTGGCTTCTCTTGTTGCAGAGCATGGGCTCTAGACACGTGGGCTTCAGTAGTTGTGGCACGCAGGCTTCAGTAATTGTGGCACGCAGGCTTCAGTAATTGTGGCTCGCGGGCTGTAGAGCGCAGGCTCAGTAGTTGTGGCGCACGGGCTTAGTTGCTCCGCAGCATGTGGGATCTTCACAGCCCAGGGCTGGAACCCGTGCCCCCTGTATTGGCAGGCGGAATCTCAACCACTGCGCCACCAGGGAAGCCCAATGCCTTTTTTTTTTTTTTTTTTTTTTTTTTTTGCGGTACGTGGGCCTCTCACTGCTGTGGCCTCTCCCATTGCGGAGCACAGGCTCCGGACGCGCAGGCTCAGCGGCCATGGCTCACGGGCCCAGCCGCTCCACGGCATGTGGGATCCTCCCGGACCGGGGTGCGAACCCGTGTTCCCTGCATCGGCAGGCGGACTCTCAACCACTGCGCCACCAAGGAAGCCTCAATGCCTATATTTTTAATGTGGAAAATGTCCACAATATATTTGTAAGTAGAAAGAGTATGCAAAATATTATTACAATATAATTATATATATATACACACATATATATACAAACACACACACAAAATGAAAGCAGGGTTTATCTTTTTTGAGTTATTTTATTTATATCTTTATAGCTTTGATACGTCCATTTTATAATAATTATATATACCTTTTATTACTTCTTAAAATTATTTTTTATTGTAAAATAATATATAATACTTGGCTGAGAAAAAAGCAAATACTACAAAAGAACCATAAAGTAAATGTAAACCAGTCATGCATCCTGGTAACAACAATATTAGGTTTGGTGTATACTTTTCCACATTTTTTCTAAGAATATATACATTTATTCCCCTTTCACAAGAAATAAAAATTTCTTTTATAATTAGAAAGCCTGCTATTTTCATTTGGAAAAAGCAAATAATTTAGAAAGACTAATAGAAATGATAAGATTGTAAAACAAAACCAGTAAAAACATACTGTAAAGAATATTCAAAGATATTAAAATAGACTATTAAAGAATTATAAGAAATCATATTAGATAAAATGATATATTAAAAAATAGTTTGAGGAAAAATAAATCACTTCAGTTAGAAGGTTATCTCTCCAAGAGGACTGGGTGACAGCCAGAGTAGCTATTGGGAATCCAAGAACCCATAGCCCCACCTTTCCTCGACATTAAAGGGAGGGACCTTCAGATAGAGGAACCTTTAGACCTTCAAGCTACATTCCACAGAGGCTGCTAGATGCCTTGGGATTATCTTGGGGGGGGGGTGGAGATGCCCCTAACCAAAGCTTCAGCCTGGCCCTGTTTTTTTTTCTTTTGGGGGGGGCGAGGGGGGTTGTTGTTGTTTTACCTTGGGCATAATAGCAAGTACAAATCTGATTCCTGGCGTTCCCAGCTCAAAAACTTCAAAAGCCCTTTCACTAGTTCCTGAATCAAGCCCTCACAAACGTGTTTTGACGAAGGGCTCCTTCCCCGCTCCCTGGGCTTCTCGCTCCTCCCCCTCGGTCCTCCAACCCCACTACCCCTCTAGCAGTGCTCTCACAGGACGGGAGCTGACATGTACTGTATTTCTCAGTCTACACTGTACATTTCCTGGGTAGAGCCCTGTGCTGTCTTATACCCTGTTGTATGAACAGGTTCAGCTCCAACCCACACTCCATCCCTACCTGCAAACTACATCTCCTGATCTCCGTAAACAGGTCTTCAATAGCCAGGTGGTCTGAAGTGTCTAATTCCCTAAGTGTCTGTGTATCTTAAGAAACGTTTCTTTTCTGGGTCTCAGTTTCCTTATCTCTAAAATGACGTGTTAGAACACAGATTATATTTAAACATGTTGGTTGGGAGCTGGGATGCTTTGAAGGCGGAGGGACTGTACGTTTTTTGTATGCCCCCTCCGCGCCTAGCCTCCCAAAACAGGCACACAGCATACATTCCATAAAAGCTTGTTGAATTGATACCAATAAGCTTGTGGCTTCTACCCAGTAATAGAAGACCAAGTCAGCTAGCTGGGTTTGCGTTCTCAAGAGGTTCACAGTTTAGTGTAGGAGGCTAAGACAATAACTCGTTCATTTAACAAATCTTTTTTTCAACGTCAGTGTGTACACAGGTGGAAAAGGTGAGGCAAGAGTGATCATTCCGAGCTCCAGACGAGGTTGCGACATTGATTGATTCGGAGCGGCGACCTTCTGACCTTTTCATTGGTTGTCGCGAACCCTCCCTTCTATCACCCAACCAATCCCGGAAGCGTGCTGGAAGCCTCACAGGCCGCGGGCAGCCAATCAAAAGTGCCGAGGGTTGCGGCAGCTGGGGTGCTGACGCCGATTTCAGTTCAGCGAAAAATGACGCGGTCTGGACAGTCCAGTGGCTGGGGGTGCAGGGAGACCAGGCTCTGGCGAGCCGAGCCCTCCGGGCGCTGACCGCCGGCGGTCATGGAGGACGAGCAACCCGACAGCTTGGAGGGCTGGGTGCCGGTCCGCGAGGACCTCTTCGCCGAGCCCGAGCGGCACCAGCTGCGCTTCCTCGTGGCCTGGAACGACGTGGAGGGCAAGTTCGCTGTGACTTGTCACGACCGCACGGCGCAGCGGCGGCGGCGGCGCAAGGGGAGCCAGCCCGGGCCCGAGCTGGTGTCCGAGCCCGTGTCTGAGGCCGCCGCGCCCCCGCCCAGCTGGGCAGGCCTGCTCTCGGCCGCCGGGCTCCGCGGCGCGCACCAGCAGCTGGCGGCGCTGTGGCCGCCGCTAGAGCGCTGCTTCCCGCGGCTGCCGCCGGAGCTGGACGCGGGCGGTGGCGGGGCCTGGGGCCTGGGGCTCGGGCTGTGGACGCTGGTATGGCCGGCGCGCACGGACCTCGGCGAGGCGACGCTGCAGGAGCTGTGCGGGCAGCTGGAGCGCTACCTGGGCCAGGCGGCCGACGGCTGCGGCGGCGCCGCGGTGCGCGACGCGCTCTTCCCCGCCGAGGGATGCGCGGCCGACTGCGAGAGCCCGCGCGAGTTCCGGGAGCGGGTCCTGCGCGCGCGGCTGGACGAGGCGGGGGCGCGGCTGCGCCAGGTACGCGCCCGCCGGGCCGTCGCCCGGTCCTTCTGCCTCTCGGTTAAGCCTCGGGCCCTTTTCCAGGGTGGGACGAGTGCGAGAGGGGGGTCCTTCCGCAGACCAGCGCGGGGAAGGAGCAGGTTAACAGCGTGATGCGCGGAAGGGCCGCGCAGCCTCGCAGGTGCTCTTCACTTGTCGGGGAGCATCGAGGGGAATTCCGCGGAAGCCCCGTGGGGCCTATAGCGAGAGGACTAAGTTAAATCAAAGTTTAATCGCAGTTAGGAGCCAGGGTAGGCCCTTAAACCTTTCCCCTGAAGATGCTGGTGGAGCTGGCTGTTTTGACAGGAAGTGCCAGAGAATACTGAAAGCAAAACTAGAAATATCCCATCCGTGTAGGAAATGACAACACAGACTGAAGGTAAACACTGACAGGTTCTGTGTATGAGGGAAGACCGATAATGGAGACAAAATGTTTTAGAGGATGAAGGTGCTTTCTAGGACACAGGTTTTTTAGGTGATAAAGACTCGGTCAAGTGGACAGCCGACAGGATGTGAGCTGTCTTCATCAGTGTGGAACAGCAGCAACATGAGTGCAATTTTAAGCTTGAAAGAGGTAATTAGCGAGATGGAACAATTCATTTTTTGAGTGGTAAGCTTACAGAACTGAAGGGGATTCACAAATTCACAAAAGGGTTTAAGAGAAAAATATGGCTCATATATCCACAACCAGCTGACTCTCCTGAGTCAAGATTTAGTGCTCTATCCCACACCCTGACATGCCTCTTGCTTGCCCTTTTCTCATTATACGCCGTACTTAATCTGAATGATTTTTCTCTGCCTTCATTTGAGGAAGGGGAGGTGTAAGAGAACAATCCAGCCACATTTCAAAATCTTAATTATATCCTCTCAAGCTAAATATAGAATGAACTTTTTTTTTTTTTTTTTTTTCGGTACGCGGGCCTCTCACTGCTGTGGCCTGTCCCGTTGCGGAGCACAGGCTCCGGATGCGCAGCCTCAGCGGCCATGGCTCACGGGCCTATCCGCTCCGCAGCATGTGGGATCCTCCCGGACCGGGGCACGAACCCGTGTCCCCTGCATCGGCAGGCGGACTCTCAACCACTGCGCCACCAGGGAAGCCCCTAATTTCACTTTTAATGTGAGGAAACCACAGAGCAGTTTCAGGCCAGTCAACTTTATCTTTTTAAAATTTATTTTTGACTGTGTTGGGTCTTTGTTGCTGCATGCGGGCTTTCTCTAGTTACCCCGAGCCGGAGCCGCTCTTTGCAGCGGTGCGAGGGCTTCTCACTGCAGTGGCCTCTCGTTGCAGAGCACAGGCTCTAGGGGCCCAGGCTTCAGGAGTTGTGGCTTGCGGGCTCTAGAGCACAGGCTCAGTAGTTGTGGCACACGGGCTTAGTTGCTCCGTGGCATGTGGGATCTTCCAGGACCAGGGCTCGAACCTGTGTCCCCTGCATTGGCAGGCAGATTCTTACCACCAGGGAAGCCCAACTTTATCATTTTGAATCAGACAGACTTTTATTTTTTAGACACCAGTTTCTGACAGAAGTGGTTTTTCCTTAAGCTAACATATATGTTACTATTGTAAAAGTTATACTTTACCCAAGTTGAAGTTCATTCAGAGGTATTATGGCACCAGTATAGTTCGTACTGTTAGGCTAGCTGTTGACACTTGTGTGGTTCACCTGTTTACGTGTAACAGGTGGGCAGAGGAGGGCTTAAATATAAAGTATACTGCGTCCGTGGAAGTGTGTGTGATCATCTTAATACTCAGCTCATATTTAGGACAGGAAAGCAATTGATTCTAGAATTAGACCAGTTGCCAATATCGCTAGTGTATATAAAGTGAAGCTGAATGGTTTGAATTCTGAATAGTCTAAGCAATAAGACTGAAAAGTATCAGTTGTCCTAAGTTTACTTTTTTGTGTGTTTTAATATTTTTCAGGGACACTTTTTTTTTAATCCTATTATTATCACCTGGATAAAATGTCAGCTGAACATAGATCACTTTATCCTTAAGGGGAGGGAAGGAAATAGAAGAATTTAAGGTTATTGACTGGGGGAAAAAAGTCTATACTATTACTTGATTTTATTTCTCTTCTCCTGGGGGGTAAGGTAATTTCTTACCAAATGAGTTTATCTGGATTATAAATGCTCAGTTTACTTTCTATCCTGCCTCAGAAGAAGCGCTCTGCAGAGGCTAGAGCCACATTTGTGATGCTAACTGAATCTGCTGGGAGTTTGGTGGCAATATTAACCTGGGGGAATTAAGAGAGTTGGCATGCTGGAGAAGTACTTGGAGGCATTTCTGTGTCCTTATGAGCTTTTAAAAAAGGAGTACTCCTCACAAAACCTTTATGGTCGGAAGAGTGATGAAAAATATCCTCAGTCTACCCCCTATTTGATGCCTTTTTCTGGTCCTTTTCTCTGAGTACTTAGAGAAAACATAGTTAAGATAAAATTTTCAACTCTGCATCCTCCTCCACCTCCCACTTATTATTATAAACGTCCCCAGGGCTTCCCTGGTAAGTCCCCAGTTACTAAACAGTCTTCAAAAGCACAGTGCTGAATGATTGATTATAGTAATAATAATCTTCTATGGATATACCATGATTTATTTAACCATTCTTACTGGGCATTTTGGTTGGAGAACAATAGCATTTTCATGTTTAACCAGTATTTTTTTTTTTGCGGTATGCGGGCCTCTCACTGCTGTGGCCTCTTCCCTTGCGGAGCACAGGCTCTGGACGCGCAGGCTCAGCGGCCATGGCTCACGGGCCCAGCCACTCCGCAGCATGTGGGATCCTCCGGACCGGGACACGAACCCACGTCCCCTGCATTGGCAGGCGGACTCTCAACCACTGCGCCACCAGGGAAGCCCTTAATCAGTATTTTAAATTGACGCATTAAAGTTTAGAACATTCAGGTTTCTTTAGCTTTGTTGGTTTGGTATGATCTTATAAATACTGTCCACACGTGAGCTTTATTTACATTTTGCCTTCTAGGTGCTTCAAGGGCATGAAAAAGCCAACACCATGATAGCATTAATGAAAGTGTATCGAGAGGAAGATGAAGCATACCAGGAATTAGTTACTGCTGCAACCATGTTCTTCCAGTATTTACTGCAGCCATTCAGGGATATGCGAGAACTTGCAACTTCATGTAAGCTTGCTATTTTGGTACGTTTTCTTTATATTTTTACTTTATGAGATTTATTCTTTATCGTATACTATTTCTCCAGTCGCATTTAAGATTCAATCTGTGTTTCCACTTTGGGTTTACCCTATATTTAGATATATTGTAGATATATTGAATTTATTATTTTTTAAATTGATTTCAGATGAAGACATTTTACATCAGTCGTCTTAATACATTAAGATTTCTGCAGATTTTCAAGGGTTACACACTTTCTTTGCTGATGACTTTTTTTTTTTAATTTCAATTTTAATTTTTTGGCTGCATTGGGTCTTCATTGCTGAACGCAGGCTTTCTGTAGTTGCAGCGAGCGGGGGCTACTCTTCGTTGCGGTGTGCGGGCTTCTCATTGCGATGGCTTCTCTTGTTGCGGAGCACCGGCTGTAGGCACGCGGCCTTCAGTAGTTGTGGCGCATGGGCTCAGTAGTTGTGGCTCGTGAGCTCTAGAGCGCAGGCTCGGTAGTTGTGGCGCATGGGCTTAGTTGCTCCGTGGCATGTGGGATCTTCCTGGACCAGGGATCGAACCTGTGTCCCCTGCACTTGGCAGGTGGATTCTTAACCACTGTGCCACCAGGGAAGTGATGACTTGTTTTTGATGTGTTGCTTATTTACTTTAGCTTATTTTCAGCCTCTAAGGACACATGCAGACTTCTGAGAAATAGGATGAAAATTTAAATAGCAAGGCCCTGGATTGTAATTCAGTAAATTAAACTTTAGTAAATGCTGTCATTGCTCTTATTTCATTGAGCCATGGAACACTAGTTAGAATAAGCATTTTCATTCCAGTGTTATAAATGAATCTGGAACCAAGGTGGGTGGGGAGGTTCAATAGCTTTCTCTGGTTCTAAACCAGCTGGAATCAGAAGACAACAGAGATCTCTTGATCTCTGCCCCCTGCACTGGGCCATCCTTCCACACATGCACCCATGGCCACTGCCGGGCTACCATAAAAATGGTATCATGTTTAGATGAAACTCATGCCAGCCTAACCTGTGGAGAAAGTTGTTCTGTTCGTTATTTTGCAAATCTATTATTTGGATTGTCTTTACTTCCTGTGTATATTTTTTCTTTCTCTAAATAACAGCTGTACTGAGATATAGTTCACAGACCATATAATTCACCTATTTAAAGTGTACAATTCAGTGGGTTTTAGTATATTCAGAGTTTTGCAACCACCAGCACTAATTCCAGAACATTTTCATCTCCCTGAAAAGAAACCCCATATGCATTCCCCATTCCCCCCCAACTCCAGGCAACCACCCATCTGCTTTCTGCCTCTAGATCTCCCTGTTCTTGACATTTCATATCGTATGGAATGATTTGTGTCTGGCTCCTTTCATGTAGCATCAGGTTTTCAAGTTCCATCCATGTTGCAGTGTGTATTAGAACTTCATTTCTTTCATTGCCAAATAATGTTCATTATATGCACATAGCACATTTACATATCCATTTAGCAATTGATGGACATTTGTAACTTTCCACTTTTGGGCTATTATGAACGTTGCTATGAATATTTGTGTTCAAGTTTCTATGTGGACATATGTATTCATTTTTCTTGGATATATGGATATGCTGGACCCTACAGTAACTCTGTTTAACCTTTTGAAGAACTGCCCGACTATTTTCCATAAATTCACCATTTTACACTCCTACCAGCAGTAAATGAGGGTTCCGATTTGACCACATCATCGTCAGCACTTGTTATTGTCTGTCTTTTTGATTATAACCATCCTAGTAGATGTGAAGTGGTATCTCATTGTGGTTTTAATTTACATTTCCCTGATGGCTAACCTGGGTATATTTCTTAATGTCACTAAATCATGCTTGGTAGAAGAATTGGATACTAGGTGACATAGTATATGTCACAATCATTCATGTTTTAGGTTACTGTATTACTTTTGCCCTTCAGAAAAGAATCTCACTATTGAAAAGCTTCCTGCCATGTCCCTAAAAGAAACCACAGCAACAGCTAACACTTGAGTGTCATGTACCAGGCTTTTGCTGAGTGCTTAACAATACAAATCTCATTCAAACAATCGTGTATTATTATTAATAGAGAAACATAACTTGACAGCATTCCCTTATAGAAAAAGCTATTTGAGTAATACAAAGTAAAAGTAGGGTTTTTTCCCTTTATACTTCAGAGTATCCCTTTGTCATCCAAAGGATGCACCACTTAGAGCCTTATTCATACTCAGTAAGGAACTGATGAATGAATGAAATTTAATTGACTATGTAGTAGTAATAAAAGTAGCTGAAATAATCCATGTGACCAATTTCCTTTCGATTTCCTAATGGCTCTACATTACTATTCTCTTTTACTAATATAACTTTCCCTTCTTTCTATAGAAGTCCTTGGATGAGGATGGTCTGGGTCCTAAAAGGGTAGTTGCCCTGCAGAAGGAAGCCCAAGAATGGACCAGACGGGCTGAAGAAGCTATAGTCTCGATTCAAGATATTACAGTGAATTATTTTGAAAAAACAGTAGAAGCATTAGCAGGTAATAATTTAAAATGCTATACTAAGATACATGTAATTTTCATTTTATTCGGAAAACATTTGAGTGCCTCTTAAGCACCAGGTTCTGTATTTTTTAGGTACTGGGGATTCAATATAAGGATAAGCATAAACAGCCACTGTACAGTCAGGTGAAGGGAGAAAAATCTTAATTATATTAATTATATATTCATTCAAACACATGGAAAATGGCAGTGGCAACAAGCCACATGAAGATGAGAAACATGGGGCTCTGAGAGCTTAGGAGAGAGAAATTAGGCCCAATCAGAGTGGCCAATGAAGGCCTCTGAGAAGTGGCACTTGCCCTGATATCTGAAGGGTAAATGGAAGTGGAGAAAGCAAAAAAGTGAGGGAAGAGTGTTCCAGGCAGGAGTAGCATTTGCAAAGGCCCTCTGGTTTTTGGGAGCTTGACAAGTCTGAGGAACTTGGGAAGTATGCCAAGTATGAGGAAGCCATGGGCTGGAGCACAGTCCAGGCACACCTCATGTCATAGCTCATTTCACTGCACTGCACTTTACTGCACTTCACAGATATTATGTTTTGTACAGATTGAAGGTCTGTGACAGTCCTGCACTGAGCAAGTCTATTGTAAAACAGCAAGTGCTGTTTTCCCAACAGCAGTTGCTCACTTCATGTCTCTGTCACGTTTTGGTAATTCTCCTAATATCTCAAACTTTTTCATTATTATTATATTTTTTATGGTGATCTGTGATTAGTGATCTTTGATGTTATTATTCCAAAAAGATTACAACTCACTGAAAGCTTAGATGATGGTTAGCATATTTTAGTAATAAAGTATTTTTAAATTAAGGTATGTATGTGATCTCGGATGGCCTCAGCCTGCAGCAGCTTGAAGCAGGATTTCAGTTCCCCGGCCAGAGATTGAGATCAGGCCGTGGCAGTGAGGACGCTGAATCCTAGCCACAAGACCACCAGGGACCAGTGGCCAGTGACAAGGCCCTGGCCTGTCAGCTGTGTAGAAATGAATTTCCACATAGAGACAGAAAGTAGTGAAGCAAGTAAAGTGTTTATTAAAAGGAAGAAGAGGACAGTGACTGTGGATAGACACACGGGTGGGCTCAGAGAGAGTCACACCCTCGTGGTAGTCTGAATCACTTTTACGGGGCATTTCTTCCGGGTTTCCTTTGACCAGTCATCTTGCTTTGCCTGGTTCTGAGTCCGTATTTGGTATATCTCAGGATCCTCCCGTGTGTGTGTGTGTGCATCTCTTAGCCAAGATGGATTCTAGAGGCTTAGGGTAGGTTGACATCACTTACTATGAGGTGGCGCCCCCTCCCTTTTTGACCTCCAAGGAGCCTTTCTGTGCATGTTTAGTCAGGAAGTTCTCCTTGACTTCGAGAATGAGGAATATGTGGTCTTTTATCTCTTATCTGGTAAGGGCCCAGCCTCCTCCCTCATCCTTTTTTTTTTTTAATTTTTGGCTGTGTTGGGCCTTTGTTGCTATGCACTGGCTTTCTCTAGTTGCAGCGAATGGGGGCTACTCTTAGTTGTGGCGCACAGGCTTCTCATTGCAGTGGCTTCTCTTGTTGTGGAGCATGGGCTCTAGGCGTATGGGCTTCAGTAGTTGTGGCACGTGGGCTTAGTAGTTGTGGCGCACGGGCTTAGTTGCTCCGTGGCATGTGGGATCTTCTTGGACCAGGGATCGAACCCGTGTCCCCTGCATTGGCAGGTGGATTCTTAACCACTGTGCCACCAGGGAAGTCCCCATTATCCTGCTTTTATGGAGTTTCTGCTATTACAGAGTTTCTGTCCACAGGGGAGAAACTGTTTAGCCTGGGGCCCGTCTATCTCCTGCCTCAAATATACATTGTTTTTTTAGACATAATGCTACTGTACACTTAATAAACCACAGTACAGTGTAAACATAACTTTTATACGCAATGGGAAACCAAAAAATTCATGTGAATCACTTTATTGTGATATTCGCTTTATTGTGGTAGTCTGGAACTGAACCTGCATTATCTCTGAGGTATGCCTGAATGGAGAATGTGGTGTGAGATAATGCCAGCAAGACAGGCAGGGATGAGACCATATGGTCTTGTGGGCTGGGTGAAGGACTTTGATCTTAAATCATTGTTGATAGTAGACCCAAATAGCAACAACTTATTGCCTGTCAGTTTGTTGAACTATAGTACATTTATAAAATGGAACGCCATATAGCAGTAAGCATGATTCTCTATAATTATTTTTATGAATAGCAAGAGTTCCCTCATATATTAAGTGAAATAAAAAAGATAGAAAGCAGAATGATGATCCTGTGGGGGGGGGGTTTGTTTGTTTTGGTCAAACTGTATCTTCCTGTCTGTCTAGCTAAACATAGAAATAGTCTAGAAGTATATGCACCAAAATGTAAGAAGCAATTGCTTTAAATAAGTGAGATTCATGATTTATTATTTTCTTTTTTTAAATGAAGTTATCTAAAATTTTATACCAATAACCATGCATTATTTTTGTGACAATAAAAATTCACTAAAATACAAGAACTTTTCTTTTAAAAGGGATGTTTTGCAGGTAACATGGGAGGCAATAAACAAAGAATTAGTTCAGGATAAATTTTTCTGTTTTTAATGAGTTGTAATTATGTTTTATTTTATTAATTACAATACAACAGGAATGCAGAAACAAATGGCACAGGATGAGAAGAGATTTGGCCAGGCTGCCTGGGCCACAGCAACTCCCAGGTTAGAAAAACTCAAGCTGATGTTAGCTCGGGAGACTCTGCAACTCATGAGAGCCAAAGAGTTGTGTTTCAGTCACAAAAGAGCTGAAATTCAGGGAAAGGTGAGACAAAGAGAAGTGAAACTTTGTTTTAAAAATACACTTTTATTTTAGGTAGAATCTTTCTTTCCAGGCATTGTGAAAGAGCTTCCTTTCTTTGCTTATTCCAACACCATCTTCCAGTAGATTTGCAGACTGTGGAAGGTTGGCCGTGAAGTTTCCCTTTGGCCAAAATGTTTGTGAAATATTATTTTTTTTTAATTGTTTATTTATTTATTTGTTTTTGGCTTTGTTGGGTCTTCATTGGTGCGTGCGGGCTTTTTCTAGTGGTGGTGACCGGGGGCTACTCTTCCTTGCGGTGTGCTGGCTTCTCATTGCGGTGGCTTCTCTTGTTGCGGAGCACAAGCTCTAGGCATGTGGGCTCAGTAGTTGTGGGGCATCAGCTTATGCTCCGCGGCATGTGGGATCTTCCTGGACCAGGGATCGAGCCTGTGTCCCCTGCACTGGCAGGCGTATTCTTAACCACTGCGCCACCAAGGAGGTCCCTGTTTGTGAAATATTATATTGTAGGATTCACTTGACGATAACATCAAACTCAGTACTGATGTAGTACTTTAAAATCAATCAAGTACTCAGTAGTTTAAAATCAATCAAGCCGTGTTTTCAGCACAATTTTAGAATAATCAAAGAGGTGCTTTATCCTAGAAGCGTAGTCACTTAATTTTTTTCCTGTAACATTATGACTTTAAAGCAGAAAACATTTGTAAATACCTCATTGCTGTTTATTTTTCTCAAAACCTAAATGTTTTCATATATTTCAGGGATGAGATAAAGTATTTGTGACAAACATTGAAGAAGGCATTTTTATCCCATTAAATGAAATGGAAAAGTGTTTCTTCTCTATTTGCTTTTTTTATATTTGATATTGAGCAAGGAATAGAAAATAACTTGAATGCTTGTAAAGTTTGCCTTTAATGTACTAATTATTTTAACTTGCTCTTATTTTTTTCATGAAAACAAGATGGAAGATCTTCCAGAACAAGAAAAAATAAATGTTGTAGACGAATTAGAAATACAATATTATGAAGTTCAGTTAGAACTATACGAGGTTAAATTTGAGATATTAAAATATGAAGAAATACTGCTTGTTACACAGTTGGACTCTATTAAAAGACTTATAAAAGGTAAAACATATATATAAATGTATATATGTTTAAATTACACATTCAAGGAAATATAGATCATATTATCAATTACTGTATATTGTCTAATATATCTGAAATTTTCTAACAAAGTTTCCCTTTAGTACTTTATTATTCAAATAATATATTCATTGTTAAACACACAGCAAAACAAAGGGAAACTATTATTACCCCAATTAAATCATTTAGAGATACTTAGGCTCTATAGCTTTGTAGCCTTTTTTGTATGCTGATGTTTATAAATCTTTCAATTTCTTAAATCAGAACTATGTATCCTGTTCAGTAACCTCTTTTTCACTTAATACATAATAATCATTCTTCCATTTCAGTAAGTAAGAAAACCATCAAAAATTTTAATGGCTGCATAGTATTCCATTGTATAGACATGCCGGGATTTCCACTTTTTCACTGTTGTGAACAGCATTGTAGTGAAGAACCTTCCTTTACACATGTCTTTGTGATTACAACAGATTATTTCCTTGGAATAAATTTCTAAAGATGGAATCAGGTCAAGGACAATGCATATTTTACATTTTGACACATACTTGTTAAAAAAAACCTACAAGAATCATTTGATATGCATTTTTCTACACCTCTATTATTTTCTAAATTTCTAAATTTCATTCTACATAATGGCCCTCTAGATAGGTTGTACAAAATGATGCTCCCATCAGCTGATTATAAAAATAGCTTTTTCCCCATACTTATTCATTTAAATTCTCACCTACTTGAGAGCAAAAATGGCATCTTCTTATTTTCATTTATTTAATCACAAGTGATGTTGAACGCAATTTTGTATGTTTACTGGCCATTTGTATTTCTTTTATTCATGGCCTATTCATGGCCTTTGACCATTTTTCTTTGGAACATTCCCTTTCTATATTAGAGATGTTATTCTATTATCTGTCATATGTTGCAAATAATTTCTCTGTCATTTGCTTTTTCTTGCCTTGTAGGAATATTTAATTATTATGAAGTCACCTCTATCAGTCTTCTGCTTTGGTGTTATACCTCCTTATCCCAAAATTATATCAGTATTTACTTATGTTTTATTTCAGTATTCTTATGATTTTGTTTTTAAAAACATTTGGCTCTTTAATCCAGGTGAAATTTATTTTGATGTGGGGTAGGAATCTAACTTTTCCCCCCAAATTGTTAGCAGTCCCAATCACTAGTTTTTAAAAACATTTTCCCCTGTTGCTTTGCTTTGACTTTTACCTGTCTCATATCCAGAATTATCATATTTGTTTTGATCTATTTATGAATTATTTTCTTTCACTGATTTGTGAGTGGCTTCTGGTGCCAGTACCATGCTGTTTCTATTATTGTACCTTGGAGGTACATTTTAGTATCAGGTAAAGCAAGTACTTCCCCCATTACTCTACTTTTCCAAAAATTTTCTGACTTTTCTCACTCCTTTATTCTTCCAGATGAACTTTAGAATCATTTTGGCAAGTTCAAAACAAAAAAACCCAAAAAACTCGGAATTTTTATTGGGATTGCACTTAACATTAGAGATAATTTGGGGAGAATTGTCATCTTTTCAATATTGAATCTTCCCATCCAAGAACATGGTATGTCTCTCCATTTACTTAAGTCTTTTTTTCCCTAAAGTTCCTCCAAGTTTAGTTATTTTCTTCATATAGATCCTGAACATTTAATTTAATCCTAGGTATTCAAAAAACTTTACAGTAGCTTCACGTTATAAGCATTTTACATATTTAGGAAAAACTTCTATTAGAAAAAAGTTAATCTGGAAGGATGCATGCCAAACTGTCCATGTGTTCCTTTGGGAATAAGATGCCAAAGAGTTGGTGAAGGAAGAGGCAAATTTCACTTTTTATTTTGTGTACTTCTGTAGGGCTTGAATTTGTTACAGTTAGCATGTACTTTTTAAAAATCAATATGTAATTAAGATTAAATATCATTAAGGCACCTTAATGATATACTGCTGGTAGAATGTAAGTTGCCTTTCTGGAGGAGGGTGATTTGACAAGAGTCATCAAGAGCCTTAAATATTCATCTGCTGAGGAAGTAATAAAAAATGTACACAAAGATTTATATTCAGATGTTCATCACAGTGAAATTGATAATAATAGAACACTGGAATATTCTAACAACAGAGAGTGCTTAAATTTGAGAATACTGTGTTGCCATTAAAATTATATTTCCATCACATGGAAAAGTTTCTCTAAGAATTCTGTTGATATGTGTAGCTATATAAGTTTGTGTGTGTATGTGTGTACACATAGATATACATATACATAAATGTTAATCATAATTACAAGGATATTTAACTTTCCTTACCTTAAAGTATGCATTATTTTTAATAATAAGACATATTTTTAAGAAATCATTAATATGTTTCTAGATAAACAGGATGAAGTTATCTATTATGATCCATGTGAAAATCCAGAGGAACTTAAAGTCATGGATCATGTAATGGGGCTGCAGGATGATAAGAATTTGGAGGTGAAGGAACTCAGCCGGCAGTGCCAGCAGCTGGAATCTAAACGGGGCAGGATCTGTGCCAGAAGAGCCCGTCTCAGGAACAGAAAGGTAGGAGCGCCCAGGGCAGCTTTCTTTTCTTACCCCTTCTGGGGGTTTCTTCTTTTATGAAAGATAAAGAGGTATTGAAAATAAGGCTTTTTATCAATGATTAATTTTGTGTGTGTTTATGTAGCTATCAGTGGATACAATTAAAATACATTTAAAATGTTTTTCTTAAGATTCTTTTTCCTTTTGGATTTAAGCATTTGCCATCATTTTTAGATTTTAATTAAGTCTTTCAACAACTATTTATTGAATGCCTATTACTTACACAGGTATTTTAAAAACCACAATAGGTAGAAACTTCTAATCAGCTATAATAAATGCTGAAATTTTATTGTGAACTGTTGATTATAAAATATCAGATAATATTCAGCTCATTTCAATCCTTATATGCGGTGAGTGATTTTTTTCTTAATTTTTAAACACTCTGTGATTACATAAAAAGGTAACATACTAAGAATGGCTAAGCATAATTGAGATGTAGTTTTTAGTATACTTTTTCAGGTATTGTAGGTTGGATGTGTTATGTAGGTATATTTGGAGATATTACTTAGAACATTATGGGGAAATGTGTTTAAAATAATTGCATTGAAACAGATCCTTAGGACACACCCCACTTAGGAATGTGGGACTGCCTGTATGTCCTCTCATTTCCACTTGTTTGGAGGATTTGCTTTTTCATCTCTCAAAGCACTAAATCCCAGCCGTGGCCCTCCTACCGGGAAGGAGGGATTCCCATAAGCAGCCCACTGCCCTGTATCACGTGACCGAGGAGAAGGCAGAAGCACTGAGCCACACCATAACTCCTATTAATAAATGCTTTATACTGCAGCCCAAATGCAGTGCTTTTTTCTTTTAACCTTTTATGCTATAGCCCATGGTAATATTAAAAACCAGGTGGCGTTCAATTTATAACCAGGTGAAAAACAGATCTATGAAATTATATTATTCCCCCAGGATCAATGCAAAGAAAATCATCGACTCAGATTGCAACAGGCTGAAGAAAGCATAAAATATTTTCATCAGCATCATAGCGTTCAGAGGGTGAGTGGTTGAAGAAAAATGTTTTATATTTGCATAACATGACACACGGGCTTAAGTTTGTGCAAAGTGGAGCTCCACTGCCCCGTCAGCCTTGATCCTGAGGGGACAGCGCAGTCTGGCCCTGCCGCGTGGGGGGCAGACGTGGGGGCCAGAGGAGGCAATAAGGTCAGGTGACAGTCCCTCTCTTTCTCAGGACTTCTGAGAAGTTTACAAATATGTGTTTGTTTAAATACAGAAAAGAGACCAGAAAAAAGAGGAGGAGCAAAAGAAAAAAGAATGGATAAACCAAGAGCGCCAAAAAACACTCCAACGATTGAGAGCATTTAAAGAGGTGAGTTCTAGAAATAATCACTTCGCCTGCATTGTCTGGAGAAATATACGAAGATCACCCATCCTAGGAGAAAAGTATAAAGTATTAGGAACAGAAATTTGGGACATAAAATGTTTCCCAAATGCCATTATTTGTAGTCTATAAATAAAAATCAAAAATATTAGAAATATCATGATGTTTTTGACCTTGCCACACACTAGGGTTCCTGCTCTGCCCCCTGACCAGGTGGTGTGACTCTGCTCACCATGGTGTCAGCTGGCAGGGAAAACTGAAAATAGCTAAATTGCCCTTAGATTTAGCTGTTTCCTCATTTGTAATAAAGAAGTCTTTAAAATTTGGTCAAGGAAACACTGTGATGTAAGTATAATTTTGCGCCCTATTAAAAGTGAATAGGTTTAAAAAAAAACAGTAAATACTTATTTTAAAGTAACATTAAATTTGTTGAATGTAGAACATAAACCTGTTCTCATCACACACCTGCAACACACACCTTCACAATGAACCAAAAGAGAAAACCACCCACTCCCAGACATAATTCTGGGATGAGGTACTGAAGGTGCACTGTGTGATACCAACAAGAAAAATAGGGGCCACCAGAGCGAATCAATCATGTCCTACAACTTCATCTTGTTTCCCGATATGCTTTCTACTCTGATCACTGCCGTACACCAGGCATGTGCTAGGCACTTACATTCATTCTCATTTAATTCTTAAAACAACCTTGTGCGATATCATCACCACTTTAAAGGTGAGTAACTGATGCTCAGGGTGATTACACGACTTAGATGAGGGATATACAGAGTCAGAGCCACAGCAGAGATTCTCCAACCCGGGCAGCACATCAGAAGCACCTCTGGAGCTTCTAAAGAATACTCATGCCCAGACCCCACCTCCAGAGAGTCTGCTTGTCCTGGGTGGGAGCCTGGGCATGAATGCGGGGGGCTACATGAATACAGATGAGCCAGGTGGACAGTAACTTGCTGGTCAGCTGTCACCAGAGGGTATTGATCAGTGTGGAGGAAGGGACTTCAGGGATGCAAGTCCAGCTCCGTAGCCCTGAACTAGTCAGAGCAGTCATGAACTTTCAAATGTAGACAGTATGAAGATGGTATGAAGGTGACAGAAATCAGGCTGCCTAAGCTCTCAACAAAGTGGAACAAGTTGACCTCAAATTGGTAAAAGTTGCAGTTTTTTTGGTCCATGGAGGTATACATCCCTCAAGATTAGGTCTTTGTAAGGTTAGGTTTTTCTTTAGTAAACTATACCTGCGAGACCAGAACTTCTTTATTTTTTTTTATTAATTAATTTTTATTGGCGTATAGTTGCTTTACAATGTTGTGTTAGCTCCACTGCCCAGCAAAATGAATCAGCCATACATATACATATATCCCCTCCCTTTTGGATTTCCCTCCCATTTAGGTCACCACAGTGAATTAAAGAGTTCCCTGCGCTCTACAGTATGTTCCCATCAGTTGTCTATTTTATTTTTATTATTATTATTATTTTAAAATTTTTATTTATTTAAATATTTTTGGCGGTGTTGGGTTTTCGTTTCTGTGCAAGGGGTTTCTCTAGTTGCGGCAAGCGGGGGCCACTCTTCAGTTGTCTATTTTATACATAGCATCAATAGTGTATATGTGTCAGTCCCAATCTCCCAATTCCTCCCACCCCACCCCTTTCCCCTTGGGCATCCATACATTTTTCTCTATTTCTGCTTTGTCTGTGCGTCTATTTCTGCTTTGCAAATAAAGTCAACTATGCCATTTGTCTAGATTTCACATATATGCGTTCATCAGAACTTCTTTAATTCACATTTTTAAATTATAAAATTTGCTCTAAACATAAAAATTAGAGAAACATCCATAATTCCTGTTTTAACTGTCACTTTGAGGTCCACCCTGCTGGTATTTTTCATACCTCTGTCTTTTACCTGGTTATACATTTAACACCAGATCATCTGCATTTTTTAAGGATGTTTCGGACTTTGCACTACTTACGATTTTTCATGGCTGCCTAATACTTTAAGTTCACCGTAATTTTTTCCACCTATCGTTGATACTAAGTTTCTGATTTTTCATACTAAAAATATGATGAATGTTTTCATCTGTATATATCCTTTCATATCTTTATTACAGAGAAAGTATTCTATGAAAGGATAGAAATGCTTATTCCTTAAATAGATAGATTTAGTAGCAAGGGTGGCAGTACATGGTGAGAAGGAGCCACTTTGTGAATTAGAATAATCCACGCACAGAAATGCTTCAGTGTTCACTTACAGAAAGCTTCAGCATTTTGACGGTTTGCGTTTGTAGCAAGTTTCTCACAACAGTTTTTCATTTTCAGAGATGTCCAGGTCGCTCTGTCCTAAAGAGCTCTCGCTCACAACCTGTGGCTCCACACCTGCCGAGTGGACTTCCCCGGCAGACATCCCCGCTGACTTCTCAGATGACGGCGGTGATCCATCCGTCCTCTAGGAAAACCAGAAGCGCTCCCTTATCTGAAGTTAGTAACGTGATAACCCCTGAGCCTGAAGACTGTGCTAGAAACATCCCTGTTCAGACTTTTGTTCCAGTTGGTGCCCATACACACTGCAGATCAAGTGAGGAGTTGTCACTGCCGCCACCTCCTCCACCACCGCCGCCGCCGCCGCCGCCGCCGCCACCACCGCCACCGCCACCGCCCCTCCCTGCTCTGCCCTTTTCTTCTCAATCTGCAAATCATCGGAATTTACACTTCAGGACTCCAGCGAAAGATGATCAGCCGCTTCCTCTAGTGTGTGAATCGCCCGCTGAGAGCCCGTGTGGTTCCTCAGACAGTCTTAGCTGCCCAGGTAATCTGCCGAAGTGTCCCTGCTCACAGGGCTGGTTAGGTGGTTGGAGCATTCTAGCTTTAGGAGCCTTCATCTTCAAATCAAAATCTTTTTTAGAACTCTCTACAGTCTTAAAATATTTCAGCATTTTTTTGCCTTATCACTCTTTTATTGCAAAGTTAGCATAGCCTAAATCTGAGTTTGATAAATGCTGCGGGAAATCTTTCTAAAATGAAGCGGTCAAAAAAATAGTAGACCACTTTTTTGCATTTGCAAGTATAGCACACTGAATACACTTGAATATTTCTGTCTAATGAGGGCTATAGTTCTACTCATTATTCTAATTATGATTTAGACATTGACTATGGAGGAGACGGGCTGAAATCTGCCCAGACTCAGAGCCCACTGCTCTGGAGTGTATTTGTGTCTGTGTTTAAAGTCTATCGAAATGCTGTGTACACTTGTTTTAAAGATTATGCCTGAGTACCTGTGCCTAGAACATACAAGGCGATTGTGCTAGGTGATGTGAATTATACAAACAGAACAGTTCCAAACTGTGGTTCTGGTTAATGCGTATTCTGGTTATTCTGAGTTCAAGGTTTCTTTGCACCTGGAGCCGGGTACAAATGAAAATGTGCACGCTCTTAGGTAGAGACCGTAGGCCCATTTCCATGGGGTCTGTGGCAACATCGTGTAAATGAAAGCGAGAGCTCACGTGCCTGGGTCCAGACGAGAGATGGGACGTGGCAGGGCTTTGCGGGGGGCACCCTGTTCCCGGCCTGGTGTAGCCCACAGTGTGGGAAGCCCTGATCAGCTCACACACACTGCCTCAGTTCACTGGAAAGAATAATAAAATGCCCTTGATGGTGAAACTTTGTCGTATTACTCCTAGACGGGAAATGTAATAACAAGTTATAGGTTAAAATCCAAAGTGTTTTGTTAGCCACGGCATGGCCTTTCAATTCTGAACTAGAAATGACTGTTCACCTTGAAGTCTCATATAGAAGATCCCTAGATGAGTGGCTACAGTCATGCCCCAGTCTCCAGCAGGTGGTAAAAGATTTTACCCCCGCAGGGGTCTCAAGGTGCCAGAGTGAAAAATAGCTTCTCTTCACCAAGGCCTTGAAACTCTGATCTAATCTGTGTTTTGACAGCATTTCACACCCTCAAAAGTAGAGCACGTAAGTTACGTCAGGGTAATGTAGGTGGAATTAAACACACTATATACAGAGAAATGTGCCAGTGCCACCCACTCTGGGTTCATTGAGCTACTGATTAAAGTTTTGCTTTAAGCCTTTTCATGTGTAGAAACCTACTCGCTTCATTATCACAGAACGAGTCATCACTGACTAATATCCGAGACTGAAGTTGGAGAAATACAGTGGGGTACGTTAAAAAAAATTTTTAAGTGGGAAGGGAAATGGAGGAGATACAATCTTAGAGCTGTCAATGCACATTGGGTTGGATTACTCTAATACCCCAGGAATTCATAACTATATTCAGGGTTACACAAAAGGATGATAACGCCTGTGTCTTGAGAAACAGAAGGTATGTTGACTTTTGACTGTGCCTGGGAGTTGCTATGGATTTGAAGAAGTACTGGAAAATAAGTGGTCAAGGTAAAATATTAGCAATTAGACTATCCTGGATTCAGAAAGGGAGCTGATGGTCGACCTCTCTAGCAGATAATCAAAGCATTTGTTTAATGGAATGATGATGATTTGTTTACATCATCGCATTAACTGATGGGTGACGTAACCCTGTTAACGAGTCCAAAAATGTCTCGGCATCTCAGGGAGAAAGAGTATGATTTCGTGACTCCTTGCTCTGTTTACTCAATTTCAGGGTCGATGGATGAAGTGCTGGCCTCCTTAAGGCATGACAGGGCCCCTCTCCAGAAGGTGCAAGCGCCCACTTTGTCCCCTCCCCGTGCCTCAGTCAATGAGCACATTCTGGCTGCCATAAGGCAAGGGGTCAAACTGAAGAAAGTTCACCCTGACCTTGGCCCGAGCCCCAGCAATAAACCCACCAGCGACCTGGAGAGGAGCATCAAGGCGGCGCTCCAGAGAATTAAGAGAGTATCTGCTGACTCGGAGGAGGACGATCGTGATGAGCAGAACCCCGGCGAGTGGGACCGTTAGCCTCTTCGCCAAGGCCCAAGGCTCGTTCTGGAAAAGCATGTGAATGGGGTGCTGGTAGACTGGCCACATAACACCCCGAAAGATCAGCAGGGCTGGGTGTGTGACGTTGCAGCTTTATTTAACGCTGCAGCTCTTAAGGTCAGGGAAGGAAGGAGAGACGTGGTGCCTTTCACGCATCTAAGAATGCACGGTGAGCACAGCTGGCATAAGAAAATGGTAGTTATTGTTCACCACGGATAATCTAGAATCATTCCCTTATTCTGAAAAACGTTTACACTGCTATGGTAAACAGCACTACTGACCGTTCCTCCCGAGTGTGTGTAGTGGTTTCCTGGGATTGAAAGGTTTGAATGTGAACATTATTTTAACAATAATCCGAATAAGTTGCTTATAAGCAGGAATTATTTTAAATATTTTAAAGGAAATGTATTTCATGTATCAGGCAGTATATAAACTCATAATAAAGAACTATTTATAATGCATCAGTGTCACTCATGAGGAAATGAAACATAATATCTTAACACAGCCATCCCTCCCTTGGCTGGGTTTAGCTGAAATCTTATTGAAAACATTAAACGGGACTTCCCTGGTGGCACAGCAGTTAAGAATCCGCCTGCCAACGCAGGAGACACGGGTTCGAGCCCTGGTCCAGGAAGATCCCACATGCCACGGAGCAACTAAGCCCGTGCATCACAACTACTGAGCCTGCGCTCTAGAGCCCACGAACCACAACTACTGAAGCCCGCGCACCCTAGGGCCTGCGTGCCACAATTACTGAGCCCGTGAGCTGCAACTACTGAAGCCCGCGCGCCTAGAGCCCGTGCTCTGCCACAAGACAAGCCACTGCAGTGAGAAGCCCGCGCACCGCAACGAACAGTAGCCCCTGCTCGCCTGAACTAGAGAAAGCCCTCGCGCAGCAACGAAGACCCAACTCAGCCAAAAACAACAACAACAACAAAATCCCCCAAACGTTAAACATTTATCTAAGCAACTACTAAGGCTGGGGGAAGAGTGTTGTTTCCCTCAGGCACTCATGCTGGAATCATTTCTCCTCCTTGCTTTGTGTTAAAATTAGGAAAGGGGAAGAGACCCATACAAGGCAGTCTCCTCATTTCTCAAATTGTCCAAAGCATCCCCACTAATGTCATCACCCTCACTCTTGCCATGGCAATCCTGGGTTACAAAGAACAAGATGAATCGACCCAACTTTTCCAAAGAAAAGTTACAGACCAAAACCCCTCCTACTTAGAGTTTCTTCTTAGCTAACTCCAAGGGGCCTCAGCTGGCACAGCTGGGAGGGGTCTGGGTCCTTCAGCAGCTGCAGCCTGGACCTCCGTGCATGGCTGGAGATCCTTCAGTGTGGCCACTGCCAGGTCACCCGTGGCTCCCTCAGGTGTCCTACTTTCCCTGACCTGAAGTGATGCAGACCCAGATCCAGCTCCTGTACACGAAGGTGCCTCACTCTGCTCCCGGGGCCCAGGCCTTGGTGCCCTGACCCGGCATTAGCCTCTGTTCCCACTGCTCCCTTTCCTTTTTGCAGGTTCCCGGTGTGTGTGGGGTGGGGGTGGGGGTGGTGGTGCTGCAGCACGGGGGACAGTCCCTGCTGGCTACTTGCCGGGCCTCAGTCGAAAATCCCAGCGGCAGGCCAAGTGGCAGCCTCCCAGGCCTCTTTCTCCACCATAGACAGGCCGAGCTCAGCACAAAAAGTTTCTCTAGAAAGAATCTGGTATTTTTAAAAATGGCAACATCAGAGCTCTGCTGGACTTTCTTATGCTTATTATGCAATTTGGTATTTTTATTTTAATTCTTGTAATTTCAGTATTTTGAGACACCAGTGAGCTTACTCAGACTTGGATAATTCTCAGAATTTGCTTTCTAAGGCCTGCCAAAGATGAGAAGACTCAAAAAAAAAAGATCCTTTTCCAGAGAGTTCTCCAATTGAAACCCCTCGCCCAACTGTCTAACGTGCACCCAAACTTCTCTGGAATCCTCTCTCCCTCATTTCTCCATTTCCCCCCTTCTTCCAGCCAAGGCTTAAGTCCAGACTCTGGCCTCAGGGGATCCAGAGCCGAGGGGAGGGTCAAGTATTGTCTGCTACTGTCCAGCTTCAAACCTGTGCCGTCCACCCGCTAAAGTGCCGTCAATCCATCCCCACCTCCCCCCTCGACGTCCCGCTCCACTCTCCAACCCACACCGGTAAAGGCCTGCCCCTCAGAAACCTGGCTGCTGCCCCTCCGCCCCTTCCCCACCACAGGTTTTACTCCAGCAATACCAAGCAGGCTGCCCTCAAATGGCCCTGCTCTCCTAAGCCTCAGTGCCCAGGGCATCCCAGCCCTCTGCCACCCGTCCGGCAAATCCACACCCACTTCTCAGTCTCAACTCCATCGCGTCCTCCTCTCCAAAGTCTTCCCGGGCCCTCCCCCACTCTAGGACCACTGCCCCTTGTCCTGGACACCAGTCACAACGCCTCCCCCAACCCACAGCCCTGGCTACAAGGGCAGCCCACTTTGGCCACGTTTTAGAGCCTGAGTTGGGCCCTCTGGCTAAAGCTGACGCTAGGACAGCCAATCCATAACTGGAAGCCTCCTATGGTTTGTCCCGGAGTGAAAAACCATGAGCCGGGCTGATCAGACTGACTTACTCATTTGTTCATTTGTTCCCTCTCCCGCATTTGAATTGGGGAATCAAGCAGGTAGTTGCAGGGCCAGAATCAAGAGGTTTTTGATTAATGACCACCCATCATGTGAAACCATGTAGCTGAGTGAATTTATACAGTAAGTCCCCTACATACGAACCTTCAAGTTGCAAACTTTCAAAGATGGCAACATGCGTTCGCAGGTCCAATCATGTAAGTTAGTTCACACGTCTGGCGTACATTTTCATGTGCATGCATCTACTACAAGTGGTTGTGCTTTTGTGTACTTTACCGTACAGTACTATTTTTGTGTGTGTGTGTTTGTTTTTTATGTATTATTTGTGTGAAAAGTATTATAAACCCATTACAGTACGGTACAATATAGCCGATTGTGTTAGTTGGGTACCTAGGCTAACTTTGCCGGACTTAACGGACAAACTGGTCTTATGAACGCACTCTCGGAACGGAACTCGTTTGCATGTCGGGGACTCACTGTACAGCAGTTTCTCAACTCTTAGATATGTAAACTCATGGGAGGCGCGTATCAGGTTTCTATTGCTGCCAGAACTAACTACCACAATTATAGGGGCTTAAAACAACACAAATTTATTATCTTACCGTTCCATAGGTCCGAAGTCCTACATGGGTCTCACTGGGCTAGTATCAAGGTGTCAGCAAGGCTGTGTTCCTTTTTGAAGCTCTAGGGAAGAAGCTAGAAGCTTTTCCAGTTTCTAGAGGCTGCCTGCATTCCTTGACTTGTGGCCCCTTCATTGATCTTCAAAGCCAGCAACATGGTATCTCTTTGACTCTTCTTCCATCACCATCTCTTTCTGACCCCAGCCAGGAAAGGTCCTCTGCTTTTAAGAACTCATGTGATTAGATTGGGCCCCCCTCCCCCAGATAATCCAGGATAATCTCCCCATCTGAAGGTCCATCTGCAAGGTCCCTTCTCGCATGTAAGGTAACACATTCATAGGTTCTGGGGATTAGGATGTGGACATCTTGGGGAGCCATCATCTTGTTGTCTAGCACAAGGAGCTTCTAGAATGCATACTGCAAGGCCTGGCCTGCAAAAATGCTAATCCAGGAGGTTTTTCTGGGAAACCCAAGATAGCTCTGAAGCAGCTGGTCTGCAGACCATCCTTAGAAAAACACGAATATATACAAGTCAGACAGGAAATGAGGGGGCTGTGAAAGGGAAGAGTGAGGCAGGCATACTTAGAGTCATTGCAGGTTCCTTCCAAGATGAAGAGCCTTGGAGCTGGATGTCTCACAAAGTCTTCAGAGTGGCCCAGGGTCACCCCAGCTCTGGAGAAGCAGGGTGTACCCTGACTCCTGTTCTTGAACACCTGTGAGAGCCCTGCTTGAGGGGGAGTCTCACAAATCCTCCATCAGCTGAGTTCCGTTTGCACCTGCAATGTATCACCTCACGGCTCCACTGGAACGTAATAGATTTGCGGGAAATATCTGTGTCTTTTCACCTTTGTGTTCCCAGGGCCTGGGGCATAAAGGTGCTCAAGAAATATTTGTTAAATGAATACACAAATTAATGATTTAAGAGCTGTACGTGCGTAGGGAGGGTGGGAGGGAGATGCAAGAGGGAGGAGATACGGGGACATATGTATAGCTGATTCACTTTGTTATAAAGCAGAAACTAACATACCATTGTAAAGCAATGATACTCCAATAAAGATGTTTAAAAAAAAAAAACAAGCTGTAAGTGTGAAAAGAGCTCTCCAAGAAGCATGAGAAGTCCCCTGGAGTGGCTGATTTTAATCTGGAGGGCCTAGGCCTTTGAGCTGGGTCTAAGAAGAGAAATGGGGTTGGAAACAGGAAAGGATTCCAGGCAGTGGGAAGAGCAAGAACTAGAGCACAGAAAGGATGCACCAGCAAGGCCTGGGCAGGACCAGGGAAGGTGGCTAGTGTGACCTCATGGGGGGAGGATAGAGAGAGGGGGCTAGAACCTGATGACTCAAGCTTTAGGAAGAGGCCTCTGGCAGCTTTACCTAAAAGGCACCAGACGATGGAGGAGATCCTAGAGTGAGGGGATCAGGAACAGGATAGGGACTGTCTGGTGAGAGCAGCAGTGATGGAGCGAAGAGACTGGGATAACCAGAGGAAGAAGCATAATATGGTGACTCATTGTGCAGGAAGCAAGGGCAAGGACACAGATGGTGCCAACACCTGGAGGGGGGAGGTGCCACGGTCAGGGATCAGGAGGTGGGTAGGGGGCAGCACTGGACAGAGGGGAGCTGACTCCAGGAGGCTGGGACAAGGTGGAGTGGTGAAGCCTTGGAACTGCCAGGGGAGAGTGTCACAGGAAGGTGGCCCAGGCCGGATCCTTGGAGACCCCAACACTACAGGGCAGGAGGAGGAGGGGAAGGAAAAGGAGTAGTCAGGAACAAGACAAGAATTGGGAAGGAAAGCTTCATTCACGGGACGATTATTGCAAAAGAGCGAGGTCAACTTTCCCAAGCACCCCGGAGAAGGGAAGCCTAGGACCCGATTGGTGTTAAGGAGGCCCCTCTGGGAGGTGGTTGATGTGGGGATCTGGGCCAGAGCCCCTCCCCGCCCCCTGCAAGTGAGCTGCAAGGGCCTGCAAAGCAAGCGGGCATGGGTGGCCACAGAATCACTTCCGCTCACTAGCGTGCTCTCTTGTGCAAACACGCACTGGTTTATCTAGCGGTCCCTCTAAGTTAAATCACCCTCCACCCGAAACCTTTGCTGCCAAACATGGGATGGCTGCGTAGAGAGAGGGCCTCGGACAGCCTCATGGAGATTTCTGCAGCACAGGAATCTGTGAGGAATTCTTGTGACACAGCGGTAGTGGAGTGAGAGGGCAGGAACAGGGGACATCTCAACAGAC